CATCCCATCCCCTCCCCTTCCCCATTCCCACCCCTTCCCATCCCATTTCCACCCCATCCCCTTCCTCATCCCTTCCCATCCCATCCCCTTCTTCATCCCCTTCTCCATCCCATCCTCTTCCCTTCCCCATTTCCATCCCTTCCCATCTCCATCCCATTTCCACCCCATTCCCTTTCCCTTCCCATCCTGTTCCCATCCCCTTCCCTTCCCCATCTCCATCCCCATCCCCATCCCATTTCCACCCCATTCCCTTCCTCATCCCTTCCCATCCCATCCCCTTCTTCATCCCCTTCTCCATCCCATCCCCTTCCCTTCCCCATTTCCATCCCTTCCCATCCCCATCCCATTTCCACCCCATTCCCTTTCCCTTCCGATCCTATTTCCACCCCATTCCCTTCCCCTTCTCCATCCCATCCCCTTCCCTTCCCTTCCCCGTTTCCATCCCCACCCCATTCCCACCCTTTTCCCTTCCCATCCCATTTCCACCCCATTCCCTTTCCCTTCCGATCCTATTTCCACCCCATTCCCTTCCCCTTCTCCATCCCATCCCCTTCCCTTCCCTTCCCCGTTTCCATCCCCACCCCATTCCCACCCTTTTCCCTTCCCATCCCATTTCCACCCCATTCCATTCCCCATTTCCACCCCATCTCCATCCCCTTCCTCATCCCTTCCTATTTCATCCCATCCTCTTCCCTTCCCCATTTCAATCCCTTCCCATCCCCATCCCATTTCCACTCCATTCCCTTCCCCTCCCCATCACCATCCCATCCCCTTCCCTTCCCCATTTCCATCCCTTCCCATCTCCATCCCATCCCCATCCCATTTCCCCCCCATTCCCTTCCCCATCCCCTTCCCATCCCCATCCCATCCTATTTCATCCCATCCCCGTCTCCATCCCCATTTCCGTCTCCATCCCCATTTCCATCTCCATCCCATCCCATTTCCACCCCATTCCCTTCCCCATTTCCACCCCATCTCCAACCTATCCCCTTCCTCATCCCCTCCCCTCCCCCTCCCCATCCCTTCCCCTCCCCTTCTCCCTCCCAT